GACTGCGACGCCGAATTATCAACGTCCGAAACAATGCGTTGTTTCAAAAGTTCGAAATTCAAAAACGCGATTCGAACGGAAGTCGCTGAATGGCACGCACACACGCACCTTATTACCGACCTATCGGTTACGCACTTATATTTAGCGGGCGTAGGTAAAGAGGAGAGATGTGCACAAAAACGCATCTTCCCCCCAGGTTCCCCCCACAGCGGCCGGCGGGCGAACGAATACATTCGACTAGGCCATTTGCAATATCGCATTGTGTGAGTAGCTATCTATACGCGGCGGTCAGTGTGTGTGCACGCACACAGGCGCGCGCTTGCTTAGCCCGTGCGTAGTTTTACGTAGCTACGTATACGCGGTATTGGTTTTCTGTAGTACTGGGGGCTTTAACAAATTTCAAATTCACAAAATCGTGATTGGCCGGCATTTTGTTTGAATAAGCGAACGCAACGCGACGCGGCTCGGCTTAAAATTTCGCTAGATAATTCGTTTAGCTATAAAATGATGAGTTTTATTTGATTTTGTATGATGCGATCGCTCGGCGCCTATTTGTTTTGTAGCGCTGCGGTCGAATGCTCATTAGTTTTAAACATCGAATACTTACCTCATTATAATTGAAAATTTCATTATTTATATCAATTATACCAACTATCTACCGACCATGTAACTTAATTGGAATGCGAACCATTGTTGCATTATTGTATTTCTACGCAATTACTACGTTTTAATACTATCCCTATAACAAGACCCTGTTCCTGTCACTAAATTATCAATAACGTTACGAACTCAATCTTCAATGGAGCATAACACCTTAATAGCACTTAACATTCTATCCATCATTTTGTAGCACAAATGAAGTAATTAAAGGTAAAAAAATAATAAAGGCGAGGGCACACGCGCCAATAACCACGATAAAGCGGAAGACAGACGCTCTAATAGACCAAGAAGCCAAATATCAATTTCTAGAAAGCCATCGATGCGTATGCGTCACTTAAAACCGCGGAAGTGCGCTACAAAAACTCGGAACCCAATCAACTCAAGAAATTCGAATTTCGAATTTGTCTACTCATCGTCTTCTGGCCGTGACATGAGTTTTGAATTTAGAACGTGTTTTAATGACTGATTTTATGTCTTTCTGTATTCAAATTTTAGTACAAGTATATTATTACATTAGACTAAGAAACTTTAAAGTCCACTTTTCTATAACATTACTTTTTTTATTCTTTAATTAATAACAACATAAAACTATTTGACATAAATACAACATCAATCTATTAAAAAAATTCCAACATTACAAAGCATCATCGGTAATATTGTGAACTAATAAACAGCTTATAGAACGGCTTACACAGTCTAATCAAATGAATAAGGCACAAAGAATTGGATCACCATATGGGTCTTACCAGTACGCCATGTGACAGCTTGTCTGTCCGTTAAATTAACGAAAAAAGCCCTTTTGATTCGAACCGTTAATTATGTAATTTAACACTGGAATTATTTGAGCATTATTTTCTTAGAATCGCATTTTATCAAGTTGTACAATACTGTTTATATTGTTGAAATACAATTATTATTATATTACATTTTAATATCGATTATAAACTTAGTTTTCCAGTAAATATGTTTAGAGTTTAGTGTTATCTAAGACTAAACAACTGCACTGTTGACTATCACTATAGCTCAATGGTTAAACGGCTCATGGTTACATACAGGTCCTGAATTTGAAACCGATGATTACGGATGGCGCAGGGCACGGAAATCTTATCAATTGATTTTATCGGTGGAACAGATCCCCAAATAGGAACGTACACACACGCTTAAATATCCTAGACCCTGTATAAGCTAAAATAGATATTTGATACATATTCGAAGTATCAAGTGCAGAGCGAATACAGTATTTCCTCGGCTATTCCCATTGTCTTGCGTTTTCTTTCCGTTCGGTCCACGGTGCTTTGTGGCTGCGGTTGAAGAGCATTGTTCCAACGTCCCACGGGCTCTTGTCTTGAGTGCAAACAGGTCATGGGACAACGTTTCGCTTTTAAATTCCCACGGACGCCGGCTCGGCTTTCGATGTTGGAAATTATCGCGAAGGACTTTTTTTCGGTGAATTTTCTTTTTTTGTTCTACAGTGGAGTTTTGGTGTTACTAGTAAACTTAAAGGGCTCTTGAGATAGTTAAAAAAATTATGTCACGCGCGGGGCTTGAACCAGCTTCCAGAGTTTTGTGCTGCTGCTCTAAGCAATTGAGCTACAGTGTCATCGTTGACAAAGAGTTTAGTTTATGTGTATTAAACTTCTTCGAACTTTAAATTTGACAGGGAGTGAAGTTAAAATTTCTACTTATTATATTGTGTGTTAGAAAGACAAAGTTATAACGTAGTTGTAATAATTTTCAAATAAGTTTAACTAATATAAACCGCGTTTTAAACCGTTCAAGTGTTTTTTAAATGTGTACTACTTGCGTAAACTATAGACAGTAGAAACAATTAGTTACCGAAGCTATTCCAAGATCAGTAGAAGGTAATTTCACTTCCCGTGTAGAAAACACTTTACACCTAAGCTTATATTAGGAGACATTAGGATAGACAATAGAGTTTTTGCCGTCAAACAGCTATTCTTTCCGCGGACTTCCGTATCCGAAGCTACTCAGCTCGATGGTTCCGGCGACATAGTTCTCACAATCAAAAAAAGATTTGTCACTTAAGTGCGAGGGTGGGGTCCGGAAGGAATGGTTCCCAGGCACCAGGACATTATCACCCCGACGTGAGTGACCCCTTCCGATGTTGTAGTGCGGTTACAAGACGATACGATACGTGTTGGTGTCGCTGACCTGACATTATTGAATCGGAATAAAGAAATGCTTAGCACGGTTATAACTTTTTATTTAAATGTGTACTACTCGCGTAAACTTTAAGTAATATATAATATCGCGTTTGACACCGTTAAAAGTAGGCTTTCAATAGAATCTTCTAAATAATTTGCATCCATTTAAATAGTACTCATTGTTTTTTTTGGTCATGTGTTATGTATGTGCACTGTGTGCCAAAAAGTAGACAAATAACCGTGTTTAAAAAATCAGTTCAGTGTGAAAATATCTATTTTTTATCCCAGAATTCGAACCTAAAACCAGCGCTTAACACTATGCAAAGTCTAACCATTTGAAAATTTAATACATAAATCTAATAGCACCCATTTGTAATTATTAACCATCTTATACGTAATACTTATAAAAATTCGAAAAACTTCTTGCTTTTGTTTTAATAATACAGTAGTATCATATTTATGAAACCCTTATAAGGGTGTGCACAGTAGACAGGAAGGAAGTGTAAGACGAGCGCGTGAGAAGGTAGCCTCTACCGTGAGAACCCGCCTTAAGTGTTGACATAAATACTCTTCGGTAAGTAGTGACCCTTGCCACAGAGTAGGTATTGTTTACTCTGTGATCGCCCATCCTTTGTGGTTAAATACAGATTATATCGTTTTAGTAAAAGTTGTATAAATATGACTAAAATACTATCTATAGTTTACGCTAGTAGTACACATTTAAATAAAACACTATAACGATTTGAAACGCGATACCTATTAGTAAAACGTTTTTGTAGATCATTTTAACTACGGCCCGACGTTTCGGATGCTTTACAACAGCCGTGGTCATGGGTCTGTCCGTTGTGTGTTGTCCCTAAGTGTTTTATTGAAAAGAGTAAAATAATAAGAAAATAAAAATTCTTGAGTATTAGAATTGATTTTGAACAGCACCTAGATCATATTAAGATTCTTACATTACATTGCTTTTCTAATACCATCAAAATGTCACTTTTTTTAATGACAGTTGACTGTCCAGTATGGAAGTCCCGAATTATGGAAGGTAAAATACCCCCATATAGATTATAACATGATCTGCTGTCTTTGTTAAATTGACTTTGGACATTCGGAAATCCACATACTGAAACCGCGATGACACTTTACGACTTTTAAATCAATGAACCACCATTTTTCAAAAAAATTGTGAATATATTTTAGGAATATGATAGACCTGGTTGAAATCCAATCCTTTTATTGTAACCATTGGACCAACATATAGATAGACCTGAATAATGAATATATATGACGCTGCTAAAGATAGAGTGACCTAATAACAAAAAATATGATTTCCAATGAGAAGGAAAATAAAAATGCGCAATTATCTTAGGCGAAAACTAATTTGTACTTTTTTTGTGTAAGAATTATGTTAGCAATAAGTCCAGTCTCAAAACTGCAGTTAGGCTGCTCTGCCTTTAGCGGCCTCATATACCTAAATATTAGTCAACATATATGTACTTTTTCGCATCAGTAACTCTTTCGTTAGCTCTCCCCATCCAGACATTTGGGCTTCGCAATCAAACTCGTTGGGATTTTGACAAAGATATCATCTCGTTAAGCGACGATAAATCACAGATAGTATGAGTCACGGACAACGGAATGACGAGCTCAATAAAAAGAGGATCACCGCCAATCGTTCCGTGCTAAAGATCAGGGTGCGACGACCTTCGATTGTGGTCAAAGTCACGGGAGGTGGCGGGCGGAAAACGCTCGCGCTTGAAGAAAGCACTCTTTTATAAATAAAGTAATTAATATGTATTTTATACATAATTATTGTTAATAGCACTTTATATGCGATCAGCTTACTACTATTACTAAAATCGTAACCTTTCCATTTTAACGTCATAGTTTTATATCTTGTTAAGGAAAAAGATAGAATAAACAAAGTTTGGGGGTAAACTTTTAAACTTCTAAACGCTTTTAAACACCGTTAAACTAACATTTTTTCAAATTGAAGTTATATTAAAAATTAATAATCCAACGAATTATCTAGCTTAAATAACAGTAAATGATGAAGTTATAACAAGCGTAAGAAGTCAGAGATAAATAACTTTACTCTACTTACGTTCGCCATGATCCCACGTTACGTATAAGCAAGAGACCTTACCGCTGCGACCCCTGACTTAAGGTCCTCTGGAGTCACCGGAAGGTATCAGGGGCTCGACAATCTGTGCGTCCGGCCGGAGGTGCTTCCGGGCGCGCAAGGCGTGACGCGCCCGCCCCGCGCCGTAACATGCGCACGCGCAGGCATTGTTCCTAATTAGACGTGTCATTTTATTATGATGCTGTGTTACTTAATGATAATCATTTAAATAACAAACAAATCTGACGGGACAAAGATTTCTTTTTTACTTCTACTAATGTAAAATTATTTTATATAAAAAAAAAGTGCTTTACAGTAATTATATAAGAGTTTAGCTACAATTTACAAAAAAAAATAAGAAAATTTATTATAAAATTAATACACTCATTTGAAAATGTCTCCCCGTGACCACGGCTGTTTAACTAATATATCGCGTTTTAAACCGTTAAAGTGTTTTATTTAAATGAACTTAAGTTAGTTTCAGCCTTAACTTAAGTTAGTTTCAGAACTTAAGTATTAGCGTAATAACTGCATGTAATACGCTTAAATAAACTAAATTTTATCGAGTAAATGGCCAATTGTAAGGGTAGAATACTATTTTCGGCATTATTGTTCTTACTCACCATTATTACAATTAACAGTAACTTAACACTCTTAAGTCAACACAGAAATGGCGGGAAATTATTCACGCCGGTCTTTATAAAGATCAGGTGTGTATTTCTGTAATCTCCCGCTAAGAATACTTTGGACAAGCCACCGGAGTCTTTCGAAATAGTCTAAGACATTAATAAAATATTGATTTTGTGTTTTTGTTTAAAAATATCTTAACAGGATATAACATTTCTTTGTATATAACAAGAGCAAAATATCCCAAACGTCGGGCCGCAGTTAAAACCACTTGTAAATAATTTAAATAAAACACTTTAACGGTTAAAAACGCGATATATTAGGTCAACTTATTTGAAAATGTCTCCCCGTGACCACGGCTGCTGCAAAGCATCTGAAACGACGGGCCGAAGTTAAAAATCATTTTCAAATAAGTTAAACTAATATATCACGTTTTAAACCGTTAAGGTGTTTTATTTAAATGTGAACTACTCGCGTAAACTATAGACAGTATTTAATTGTAAATAAGTTAACTAATATCTAATACTTCACGTTTTGCACGGTTAAAAGTGTTTTCTTTAATACTCGCGTAACCACAGACAATACTAGAATATAATATATGTGTGATATTGACAGTAAATAATAGGACAATAGCGAAGAAGAATTTCCTATTACATCAATGGCTTAAAAGAGAGTCACGGAGGCGGAATAATATTAGATTGAAAGAAAGGTGGTGAATTAAGACTAGCTTTTCACACACATATTTCTTTAGTTTAAGGCAAATAATTTCATAGCATTTAAATAAAACATTGATGGTTTAAGGCGAAACATATTAAGTAAACTTATTTACGAATCAACTTTTAGAGTATATATAAAATACATGCTATCTAATCTTACGTGTTTTAAACCGTTGAAAATATCATATATCAGTCCATAATACTTTGTTCTAATTCACTTTAAAATATCGTAGCACATACAGAAATTAAATCATTACAAACCTAACTTCATTTCATCAGGTATCATCTATAAAAAACAATATTATCCCAACGCGGAACGTCTGCACAAAAATAAAAGTGCGTAACTCATACGAAAGTGTAACTTGCGACTCGCGAGCTACGGCTTATTATGCCGTGCATAGCACTGAAATAAAATGTAAAAGCAAAGACGCCGTATATATTTACCCGTATGTAAATTTTCACTTACCCGACGCCTAGTCACAGGCTTCATAATTGCTTTCCTTACGTAATTATAATTGGCGAGAAAAGTGTGCGCATTAATTATTCATTAACGTATCACCCCTCATTTGCGATGACTTGAGACACGCTAGTTAAACACCAGAGTGCGCCACTAGTTTTGTTTTCGCGGCTTTTATTGATTTTTCAGGAAAACAATTTTCTTGAGAACCGCCCAAATCGACCAATTTGAAAAACGTGATTACTTTTATATCTAAATAAAACACTAACGGTATGAAGCGCGATATATATTAGTTAAAGTTATTTGAAAATTATTTTCAACTACAGCCCGACGTTTAACTATACATATATCGCGTTTGAAACCGTTAAAGTGTTTTATTTAAATGTGTACTACTCGCGTAAACAGATAGTATTTACTTTTATATCATTGTTTATCCGTCTGTTCGGCCGACATTAATTCTTCGAGCAATCGAGCCAGCAACATCTCCTGATGCTGCCGTCCGCTCGTGATGGCGAAACGTCGAGAACTTTTCTCTCACGTCGAAATATGTGCCCGTTTAGTAAACTTTTAATAATTTAATATAAAATAATTAACGACGACGACTTCGTAGCTCAGCTCGTTCTTTCTACTTACTTTTACATTTCATAGAAGTTCTATATTCAAATCCCGGAGAATTGTATTTTTTTAGAACAGACATTTACATACAGACTTGAAGTTTCCTCCATGAAATGATGAGGCATGTAAAACCTAGATAGTGCTGTTAACCTATTTCGACTTTAGATAAAGAAGAAAAGAGAATTTATCTATTTGTAATACGACTTTGTTCAGTTAAACGGTGCAAAGTGTTTATCTAAAATTTAGGCCTTACACGTCCCTGCAGTCCCTGCAATTTCAATATTCGTACCACCGATTATATATCTAGTTTTCATAGTCCAATGTTTTAGGAAAATTATAAATGGAGTAGAAACATCTTGAATCCAATGGGGATCGAATCTACGACAACTGGTTGATTATATATATGCTACCATTTGCACTTTGACTCTTAAATTTATTATTAATACGGAAGTTAACAGGCAGTTAAAAAACAAAGCGCTGAACTTACCTTATTCTTGGCTTACAGTCCGTTAGACGAAATGGAATATGTGACAATGTACAAAGAAAGCAACCGAGACAGGTTGAGTTGAGAGTACAAAAGGTGTGTCGTGTATATGCGTGAAAGGCCAGACAATGTCATGTATCAAGTTCACAGCCAAGAGGTTAGCCAAGCGTTCGTACGCTCGCGCACGAAATTCTAAGAGGCAACGTTTTGTGACGTCTTTCGTAATTCACATTGTTCGCAGGACTATTCTTACGAGAAATGGTGTCTTGCTCGCTTAACCACTTTCAACTGTGAAAAAAACCGTAATATTAATTTTTAAATAAGTAAATCTATGGATTCATAGAATTCGAACGATTATAATGGATTTTTAGGTAACTGTTATCTAGGTGTAACTATTATATTATAATCACAGTTTATTTGTCATGATTGTTAAGACGGGGTCGCAAGGTTAATAGTGAACGAGCCATGGGTTTGATTCCCACCAGGAAAGGGGTGGTAGGAATATCGGTATTTTGTACGGTTCATGGATGAAAATGCCGTGATGTTTAATCGCGTTGCCGTTGATTTTCGAATAGCAAAAGCAAAAATAAATCGATAGCACATCTAGTTTAGGTGTTATACCCTCCATCAAGTGCTTATTTGTCACCCCATGCCTATTTGTCTTAAAATAGTTATCAACTTAAAAAATACTTAATGTATTTTTTTTATTGAAACGCAATTAAATGCGCAAATGTACCTGCAGAAGTAAGATTTAGAAATCACAAAACAATAGCACGGTACAATGCGAATGTAATACAATATTCGTAATGTGGTCCAGTGTGGGAATAATTAGAGCATTCGCCCGCTCTGGGACAGCTTGAGAATTCAACAAAAGGAATTTTATTACCGTTCGTGTTTTGTTTTTTCGATGACCTCCACCACGCTCCGAGGGATAAGACGTAGGCTTTTTTAACCTAACACACTTACTATTACATAACCATCAACATACATAATACTTCATACATACACTAACACACACAGCATGCAAATATCCACTTAAACACTAATTGTAAGCTAAGAGATAATTTTTTTATTGTCTGTAACCTGGAAAACACTAATCACCTGCTACACTGGCTTTCCCTAGTGTGGGGACTAGGGACTCTATTCTGCATCATATCTATGAAAAAAAATAAAGAAATTTCCATTTAAAAAATACTTTATAGAAAGTCTTAAGTATAAAAAGGCTTTATTTTTTATTTCAATTAATTAATAAAGTTTTGGTAAAACATTGACATATAGTAATAATTTTATCGTAACTATTGCATATTTCAATGTCAAACTATACCGTTACTTAGGTAATAGAAATCCGAAAACTGCCAGCAAAGCCTATTTATGTATTAGAGAAAATAAATCAGAGCGGGTACTTACATCGAAGGCATTCGTAAATAACATCGCGAAAGGATTTTATCATTAAAACGCCGTAAAGGAGAGTAAAATAAAAATAGTATAATTACGTTTTTCAATTAATTCTTAGTGTTCGACAAACACGGTTGGAGTTTTCCTAGTTTTATTGGTGAAGCGGATGGAGACCATGGGGTCGCTGTTTGCTTTTGTCGCTCAAAAAACGACGTAAATTTGTTAATTTCTTAGCCTACCCGCTTTGCTATAAGGACCTTTTAATGATATTAATTGATTGCAAATGATAGGTTCGTTTATCGGTTCTACCCCTATTTTTGTTTTACGACGAGATTTCGGGTTTGTAAACAGAAAGTATGTAATTAGTATTCGTATGTGACATACATTGCCGGTTGAGGTTGCAAAGACATGTTGAAAAAAGCCAGACTGAGATTCTTGGGTGTTCTTCCCGGCCATGTTGCTCTTTGGAACACTCTGTAGAGTCATATATCACACATATTTTTACGATTTCCATACACACATATTTTTGACGAATCTAAATAATTTTTAAAACTTTAATTATAAAATATTTATAATAATAAAATATATTTTATTTTATATTTTTGGAACAAGAAAGAGAAATCACTACGACACGATATTTGCTTGTATTAAAGCTCTTTCAACACATTTATTGCTTTGGCAATGATGGCTTTTAGATATGTCACAGTGACGACAATAAAAGATAAAAAAAGTCAAATGAAACTAACGCGAAAAGAGACAGCTCGTAATTAATATATAAATATAACAATCCCTTTACAAGCGACTTCTTTTTGCTACGTACTAACTTAAACAATAGCCATTAAAAAACTAAGACATCTCTCGCATAAAATTAAAGTTTAATTCACTCTTTCTTGCGCACATTGTTGCAAATCGTTTCGTCTGAGGGGTTTTAAAAAGTGCACAATAATCTGGCGCACACAAGAATTTGAATGTTTTAATCAAAGGTATTGTTCGGCTGCCCTAGAATCCAACAAAAAGTTCTTGTATAGTCATCTAGACGATATATTTGTGAAGACAAATTGAACGCACCTTAAAAGCCTCTAGTCAACCACGGGCACGCTAGATTGGTTATCGCCGTCCCTTTCTCCCGTTATTTTTTCTTCCACTAAAGTCTAGGTAGACTTGGGGAGCCGTCTTACCCCTTTTGGGGGGTACTTGAGACCCTTATCTGTTGTAAGTTTGTACAGCGTAGTGGTTCGTAGGGGACCCCTTTGCTGATGCATCTTGAGTTGCACGTTACGGTCGAAATGATTGCACCCGGTCGTTTTTGATATTGACGGGTCGTTTTAGTCGTTATAACGACGTCCTTAATTTTCTCATTAAACATTTATTTGTTTAGACTATAGGTCACTGCTTGATATGTTGTTTAAATATTAATAACATTAAATATAAAAATAACTTAGTTTTCAAAACGCAAAATGATTTTCACTGCAAGTTATTTTTCAGTAGAACAGATATATAAAGCCTTCCATTTTACGTTATTTTCGATTTGTAAGCAATAAATTCAATTGGGATATTCAAATTACGAACAACTCCAAAAAACCATATACACACAGTAAACACCACGATTTCACGCTCCTACGAAAAGCCAATAATGAAACTCGCGGCAAATGATTACGTAAACAGAACGTGAATAAGCAAACTGTAACAAAAAACGACAATCGCACCGTAGCCGTAGTTTAGCCGTAGCACGCGCCTACTTATGCGTGTATGCTTGAGGATATTTTTTATTTCTTCCCCCCTGGCCTGTCTGGTCTTGCTATTTGAGCTATCAGCCACAATGCCGTGATTACCCCGCCAAGGGTGTTTTCGTCGATTTTTAACACCCTCCTTCGAAAGATAATTACTATTACGTATAGTCGGATGGACTATTATCTTCCTGGACTTATTAATATGGTCGGTCTATAGATCGGAGATATCGCTTACTTTACGCAATTTCAACGGAATACGCTGGAAGTAAAGTACATTTTAATTTTTTACATTTCAATGCATTTAGATAAAATACTTTTAACGGTTTAAAACGCGAAGTGTATAATTTAAATTTGTGGCTTCGTGTTCTTTTAAATGACTTTTGTGTTGTATACTAAGCATATGCAAATGTACTATATACGCTGTTATTCTTGCTTATATATAACTTAAAATATATAATCTCCATATTGTAACATGCTTCTAGAGGTTGTCAATAATACCGAAACGTGTATAATTTAATTTCATAAAACGTTATTTACACAGACCATGTAGTTATATCGGTTTTGCTAATGATAAATAAAAATATTTATGACACGAAGAATATTAATCCACAAACCATGATAATTAATAAAGTAATTAACGAGATCGCATCGTCTAATTAAAAAAATCCCTTAAAGAAACGCCTGGAACGCACTACTTCAACTATCAAGCTCCGTTCGGGCATCGATTCTCAGAATTCAGCTGCTATGAAAAATAAAAAAAAATAGGCCCACTAGTTAACCCTGTAGCAACCCGGCTCGTAGTTAAGATTGACAGACGGAAGGGTTGGGGTGTGGGGGTCGAATTGAGAGTGGAAAAAATTATACGTGCCAACCGACGCATCTTAACATCCGAAGCTCGGATTCGCGAATAATTACTGCCCAGTGCGTATTTATAGATCTTTTCACTGAATTGAGTTTGGTGTAGTCTGTTACCGACTCCAATGCTGTATTGGAGTCATCTATCGAATGTAAACTATTGACTTTGATATCGTTAAATTTCGTACCGCATTGTTATGTAATATTGGGTCATAAGAACTAATGTTACATATAATAAAATATCAATACAAAGCTATCATTATTTAAAGCATTCATTAAACAGTAAGCAGGTTTTGTTATATAATGAAGCATCGTTTTCCTTTGCCATACGTAACGTGCGTTTTTAACATTATCTCAATCAAAAATAATCAGAATTGTAAACTGCTATTTTACAGTAAATATGAAAATCTAAAAGTCTACTCTTAGAATAACTCTAGCAACGCATTATTAATTAAGAGAGTAACAATTATTTTTAGCATTCAGTTTTAACCTACCAAGTTAAATACCTCGCAGTAATTCATGTGAATAAAAAGTGCGCTCAAGAAAATGACGGATTAAACGAGCTTAACGTAGTTTTTGCTATTGTCTCTGTCTCCATCTTCTTTGTCTATTATGTAATTTATTGTTCGCGAATGGCTTAGAGACGCGTTTCACGTTTTTATTATTTTTACATTTTGTTTTAAAATATATTTTTTTCTTAAGAACCGACATGAACTAGTAATATCTAAAGGATTTGTAGCGGAACTGTTTGTTAATAATTGTACCATTGTTACCAAATTACATAAAGCTATTTTTAATTGAATTGAATAAAATATGTGTAAGATAAAATACTAACCACCACAAGTCGAAAGAAGAAATACGCTTCCCAAGAAAGCGAAGCTAAAGGCTAAATGAAAACGTTTGTGTCTTAAAGAACCGATTAACAGCCAAGAAGACAAAGCTAAGCCTTTGTCTCAAGACCGACGCAAGTGTGAAAACGCGCCCTCTATAAGTACATCGATAAAAAAAGTCCACGTCAACTCCTTGTTCTTCTGTAAGTATGAATTATACCGCTCGGTGTATTCGGTTAGGGCGGATCTATTCATTCTTTTTGTCCGCCAGTTAAGGAGGTCCACCCACCCCATCCCACGCTGAACTTGCGACTCGAGAATATTTTTTTTTACTCGAGGACGTTGGAAATCGACACACTTGGCGGTAGTTTGTTCCGCTCGCTATGCAATGATAGTTCGAGTGACTCCGCGGCTGCGGAACGTTGAAATTTATTTTGAGTAATTATTTTTTTCTTTCCAGCGTCGCTTGTTCTTCACGGTTGATATAAGGCGGCGACATCTTTTGTGATGTTTCTCTCGTTTTTTATTCCACTTCGCGTTGTCAATGAGATTGTGAGGTTTTGTTCTAGCCTATAGGCTTGAATATTTCTTGATAATCATTATTATAGCCACAATGGGGAAATGCTTCACTCTTTTGTTTCTATTATACTATCTCCAGGTAAATTAAAAGTATAAGTTGTTTGAATAGAAACGGGAATGCGTACATTGTTAATTTGTTTAATCGATGGCAACACTTGATTAAAAAATAAATAGTTCCTTAAGCGAAGTGGAAATTCCAAATTTAAATCTGTTAACTGGCCAAACGTATTTTATCTACAATGTTGTTTATACTACTAATAACTGTCAACACACAATTCTAAATTTGAATTAGCTAGCTGGCCAGCGCGATAAAACTGTAACGTATTAGTAGGTACTTCATAACGAAACTAACGTTTCCAAATTTAAATAATAAAGCTGGCAGGTTAAAAAATGAATTCTATCGATGTTAATACGAGTTAGTGACATCACTAGTAAGGAGGCAGTAAGACGGTAATGAACTGAATTTCCCGCTCTTTGAGTCCGCCTCGGGGCTCACACTTGACTCGCTTTCTGTCTTAAGATGCGCATTTTTATTACGCTCCGTTGAGTGTTGACTGCACTATTTCTATAATGCAGAAAGCCTTTAGGAGACATGGTTAATTCTTTTCATATCGCTCTAATGATGGCATTTTTGTTTTAAGATGACCTGCTTTTAATGAATTACTTTCCATATAGAGAAACCTACGTGGAAGTACTGTATGTACGATTAAACTTTAATTTTAAATGTCGTGTATTATATAAATATATATAGTCAGTTTTTAAAGTGATTCTGTACTCATAACATCTGTCGTAAGTTTAATTCTTTTTTATTTAGATAAACAAAAAATATGACACAGCCAGGACCCAAACCCACGATAGCGTAATGAGTTGCTAAACAAATTTTACTTGAATCTTAAGTCTGTGTTTCAGACAAAATATAATCATTCTCGTTTAAAAGACAAATAACCTAAAATCTTATCCAAGGAACTTCTCGAAAGGAATTAACCGAAATAGACTCTAGGATCTTATCTTGTCTAGCACTTAAACTGTAGCACTAGGCCCGCTAGGCAATTGAGATCTAAGATAGAGCAATGGTTTTCAAACTTAGACTGTAACTTCCATTTTATCGTCAAGATAAACATTTAGTGGATTCAGCTTAATTTGATAAATTGTATTGTAGTTACATCTTCAAAGTTTCCTTCTGTAGTTAACGGTAGACATTTGAACTGATCGCTTTTACATTTCTTACCGTGTTTTACGTACGTTATAATTATTTAAAAAAAATATAGGTATATATCCATTTCATATGAGTGATTATTTTTTGACATGTAAACGAACTCAAAATGATACAATTGACGTACGTAAAACCTAATATTTCTCTAGTCAAACAAGTCTATTGATTTGACAGTTACGTGTCCGTTAAAACAACTCACTTCCACAGATAGTGTTTTCTAAAATCCCGCCACGTTGGCATGGCAACCGCTGATGAAAAATAATTTCATGATCTAACCAGCAGGAGACCGCTAAGTGCTTTAACCTGATTTCAACCTTAACAAAATAAGAAACGTTCGAACAAAGAAAAATAATCACGTCTGTATGCATTTCTATTTTCACGGGCTCCATGGCGTTCCGCGCCCGAAAAATTTCGGCAATTCGCATAAATTTCGGTCAATTTTAATTAACTCAATGACATTTGAATATACCTAGAACATTTGAAGTGGTAATTAGGAAGGATATATTTTGGATAAGATTTGTTAATTTCGGCCATTAATTTAATAGTTAACATAATTAAAGAAAAAACAACGCCGCCCTGAAAGACGTTTACAAATTTCCCAAACTATCATTGAATGCGGCGATTAATATTTTTTGAGCTTATTGCGGCGAGCGATCGCATTGATACCGAACTGATGTTGCCGGTCTAAATATATTAAATTAACTATTTAAATGAATTTCGAAAAAAATGATTTATAAGTTAAAAAGACGAGTCGCGCTGCGGCCAAGATAGCGTTTTAAAATGCTGGATCTGTAACGTCGCATTTCTTGGCTTGCTTAATTAGAAGGCATAAGAAAAAATATAAGAAATGCCATTCAGCCGCAAATATAAGGCCGGTCACACCGCACCTCGATTCACGGAGGCAGTAATGATGTACTTGATTTGTAAGAAAAATTAAAAAGCCACCAGAGACACTTGTCCAAGAATAAGGATAGAGGGATTCTTTAAAGAAAATGCAGTTACTAATGAACCTGCGGGCGTCTCGTTGAGTTGGGACTAAATGTTTACAGCTAGTA